GAACAAGGTCATGAGCATTCTGTGGCAAAACCTCCAGAAAGCAACTGGACCAATGAGGGATCACTGTTGTCAGTGAGCAAGGACTGTGTCTCAGGATATATTGATAACAATGGGGCCTTAGAATTGTCCTTTCAAAAGCCAGCTGGCATTGAGGTTTTGTTGTTGCTGTTGTTGCTGTTGTTTGAAACATAGTTTCACTCTTGTTGCCCAGGCTGGAGTACAATGGCCTGATCTCGGCTCACCGCAACCTCCGCCTACTGGGTCCAAGTGATTCTCCTGCCTCAGCCTCCCGAATATCTGGGATTACAGGCACGTGCCACCACACCAGACTAATTTTTTTTATTTTTAGTAGAGACAGGGTTTCTCCATGTTGGTCAGGCTGGTCTCGAACTCCCTACCTCAGGTGATCTGCCCACCTCGGCCTCCCAAAGTGCTGGGATTACAAGCGTGAGCCACGGCGCCTGGCCGGCATTGAGTTTTTATTCTGCCTTCTGATGACCCATTTACTGGAAATAAAATAAAGCAGTAATTATTTTTTAGATACTGAAACAATGGAATAGTCTTACAGTATTTCCATGTAGAGTAGCATGATATGGAGAAAGCATTTACAATAGGTACAAGCCACTCCCCTGCCTCTGATTTAAGGATTATGTTATCTAGATGGAATGGAAGGTCCTAAGTATGCAGGAGCTTAAGTCCTTTGGTATTGATGTCTTTTGAGTTCTTATAATTAATTCTGTAACAATATAGATTAGAATTAACTATCAGTGGTGATCATTGGAGTTAGGGGGAAAAACTGTTCTGTTGGAAACCTTTTTTTCATTACTCTAACCCAACTCAGCTACATCAGATCTGAAGAATTCCACCCATTTATATGGGGAAAAATTATTTGACTTGTCCCAATCATGATTATTTGTTTGTTTGTAATATCTTTATTCTATAAAGAATTGGAGCTGCCTAGAAAATTATATTTGAAACAAACTAATAAATGTTTTTATAAGGGAGGAGAGTTGGCACAAAGGAGAAAAGTAGGTAACAAAGACATAAAGCTGGATAACATTAGCACACAAAAAATGCATGCCCTGTGCTCCTGACTAGTTGCCAAAGGAAGACCCATAATTTTGACCCTAAACCTCCTAGCAATCAAAACAAAGTTGTAAACAAGACGATTTACATGACTTGCAGTATTCATGAAACAGAAAAAATGTATTTATTCAAAAATGAACAGCTTGGTCCGGCACTGATAACAATGCTAGTGATATTAGGGAACTGAGATCTCTGGAGAGTGACATATGTCAGAATCATCGCCACTTCATTGGCTAGAACCAGCACATACCCCTACCCAAGCCCAAGGGACTAGAAAAGGCAATCCTAGTATGTGCCCTTTGAGTTGGAAAACTGGAAAAACAGTACTAATGACGTCCACACTAGGAATCTTCCAAAATCAATAGACATTCCACACCCTGCCTATTTTAGATACATAATGTTAACAAAAGGGTTGGGTTGTTTTTAACTGTCAATCTAATTCAATGATACGTCAAAAGTTGTTTAATAAGATTAAATCCATTAAGAAATGAGCCTTGGTCAGGTGCAGTGGCTCACACCTGTGATCCCAGCACTTAGGGAGGCCGAAGCAGGAGGATCACTTGAGGTCAGGAGTTCGAAACCAGTGTGGCCAACATGGTAAAATCCCATCTCTACTAAAAATATAAAAATGAGCTGGGCATGGTGTTGCGTGCCTGTAATCCAAGCTACTCAGGAGGCTGAGACAGGAGAATCACTTGAGCCCAGGAGGCAGAGGTTGCAGGGAGCCGAGATCACACCAGTGCACTTTAGCCTGGGGTGACAGAGTAAGATTCTGTTTCAAAAATAAAATGAAAATAAAAAAAAGAAATGAGCCTTATTAGAAGAACATATTAGTGGAAGCAATTCAGAGGAATATGCTATCCATATGAACAGTATTGATAGCTGCCTTTATTACATTTTAGTGTGTGTGACATGATATGTTTCATGCCAAAAAAAAAAAATTAATTGTGACAATTAAGTAAAGCCAGAGATGGTTCCTAGCAATACTGCCCTAATAAAGTATACATACTGCCTAGGTCAGCACCACTTGGTCAGGTCGGCAGACAAGTACCGTATCAAAATTCAAAGAAGCTACTCATTCTCAGGAAAAAGTAATTTCTGCAAAGAACTATTAGAAAACTCCCCATATCGTGATTATACTTTTTGTTTTTAAAACTGACATTCATTTTGATGTGACATTTTCTTAATCCCTTAATGACTTTTAGTTGAAATACCAACATGCAGAGAGAAAATCAAAATGGGAATGCAATCGTTTTATTGATAAAGTATGCTACAATTATATGACAGGGCTGCTGGTCTCAACCAGCTTAAAGACCATCACAAGAACAACTGCTTTAAAAGCACTGCCTTTGGTGCTATTGACTTTGTTGTTCTTATCAAGATGTTTTTCATTCACCTGGGTGAGTGTTCACAAAGTTGACAGGCCAATGATCAATGGCTTGACTCGTTTCTTAATTTCCATTTCTAGTAAATTCAAGGGAAGAACCAGGAGGCACTAATACAAGCAAGTAGCTAGGAAAAGGAACGGGGATTTTTCTACTACAGCAAATAAAATGTGTACCTGAAGGACCCCAGGGTTCTTTTTGCAATAACAGCCGGCCTGTTGGCTGTTTATTCGCTGCATTTTAATATCTCTTTTCTAACACTAAGAGGCATATCAAATGAATATTTACCTCCAGGAACTTTAAAAGGCAATAATAAAAATAATTAGTTAAATGGTTGTTTAAAAAACTGCTTCTCTCTTGACAGGGGATCCAAAGCCTCCATAATGAAGTTTAAAAAGAAAAATTTTACCCAAGTGAAAAGCTATAAACACAAATGCCTTTGTGTTCTATTTTCAGTTTCAGAAACAAAATTTTAAACCTTAATATCCAGCTCTATATCTTCACATAAAACTTGCCCAGTTCCCTTTCAAGAGGTAATCTTGGCTGCAATTACACTATCTAATGACCAAAGTGAAAAATGGGATTTCTGACTGACCCTGGCAGGCCAGCTCTTTATGCTCAAATGATATAAGAGAACAGCTAACAAGACCTCACCATGCATGGCCTTAAATGTTATTGATGGCACTAAAGCAAGTCTACCCTTTAAAAAAAAAAATCCTTTAGTGTGCCTGGTCTTGTTGTCACCATTGGAGTGACTTACATCCTGTGGGCTGATGATTCATGGACAGAGTTTCCTGTCATTTGTCTCATGTTCATGACATTACAATTTCACTAAATCTTCCTCTGGTTTTCATGTTAGTAGAGACGTTGTTGAGAAGTGTAGGACTGGTGTTCATACGGTTATGTGCTGTCATCTAATACCCTCTTTATTTCTTATGCCCTTTCATGTAAAATCATTCTAGTTCACATATCTTAGGCACCTTCCAGAACCTCTGATAACTTGCAGTGCCTTTCCCCCAGACCTTTTCAATCCATCTCTTCAACTGAAGATCTGAAAGTCTTTGTTATTTAATGCAAATGTACATGTTTTCCATAGAGCAGTGATTTTCAAACACAGCTGTGAAATGCAGAAATCCAGGCTACACTTTCAGAAATCGTAATTCAGGATGTCCCTGTGATGGAGTCTAAGAATCTTTGATATAAAAACTTCCAGAGGGGATTTTTACTTGCATCCGGAATTGACCAGAGTTGTGGGGAAAACTACCTTGGAAATGTGATTTCTATGTCTTCTCTCTTCATTTGTATGATTTCTATGCAAAGATAAAAAAAAAAAAAAAAAGCACCCAAAGCACCCAAATAGTTATTTTGGTAATCTATCCAAGGAAAGGGATATCCTTATTCATATTTAGAAAGAATCATCTCTAAACCATTTGCAGCTTCTTCTCAGTTGACACCATTTCCGGGACTCCAAAAGTAAGATCACAGTTTAATGAACGTAGAACCTCTGTCCTTCTTATCCACCTCCTTTTTTCCTTCTTTCACAAAGTAAAAACAATATACACACTCACAGAATGTCTGGAACTATCCCAATCCAAGTAGCTATTTAGCTATTTGAGAATTAGCATGAAGAAACAGTGTGAAATTGGTGTCAGAATAGTCCCTGTCCTTTTATCTACAAATGAATCCTCTCTTCACCTACTCATGGAAAAGGGGGAGAGAGAAAGGTTTCAGAGATATACTCATTTATAAATCTTCATTTAAACATATCTACATGCCATTATTGACAATTCAACATTTAATGAGTTCTACTCATAATGAGGGTGGCATTATGCTAAGTCGTAAGCTAGGGAGATCAATAAAATACGTATTTCTAAGTATGAGATTGCTCAGACACTTAGGCAGTGGGAAAGACAAAACCCTGTGCATTATGGACAACTCCAAATACAAAATTTGTTTAGTACAAACAATTTTTTTTTCTTTTTTTGAGACGCAGTTTCCCTGTTGTTGCCCAGGCTGGAGTGCAATGGCAAGATCTCGGCTCACTGGAACTTCTGCCTCCTGGGTTCAAATGATTCTCCTCCCTCAGCCTCCTGAGTAGCTGGGATTACAAGCATGCACCATCAAGCCCGGCTAATTTTGTATTTTCAGTAGAGACAGGGTTTCTCTATGATGGTCAGGCTGGTCTAGAACTCCTGACCTCAAGTGATCCACCTGCCTCGGTCTCCCAACATGCTGGGATTAGAGGCTTGCACCACTGCACCTGGCCCAAACTATTTTTAAATTTGATCATCAGACCCATTACTTTGATGTAGGTCAAGCAGCGTGTAATGGAAATAGTGTTGGCTGGAGGTTAGTTGGCCCGCTCCACACCAGCCACTCATTGGCCTCAGGTTTCTGATCTGCTGAGTTTGTGGATTTCTAAAGTCCCTTCCTGTTCTATGTTCCCAAGCATTTGTAGTCACCCTAGAAATTATCCCATTCTTATTATAATTCTGTTCCTGATTCTTTCCCCTTATTTCTCTTTTGCAGATTCTGTTCATGGGCATGATGACCGAGTACTATCACTACTTTTTCACAACCCTGGTAAGTGCATCTGGGAGAAATGTATTCCACATGGTAGGTCTTCACACAGTTATTTCAGAGTCAGCCTCACCAGTGTCAAAGGCAGGATATCGTCATGGAGACTTGCCTTACTTTCCTAAGAATCCTCTAAATCCAGCAATGCTGAGCAGCAGGCTTCTTTCTTTCTTTCTTTTTTTAACTTGTATCAATGCATGTGCATTCAGAAAGGGATTAAAATGAAAATTCCATTAAATAGAAACTATTAAAGTAAAAACTCTTCATAAAAAAGCATCATCTACAATTTTTATGTACATTAGAAGGTGCATCCAAATGTGTCTGGCATTCATTGATTTGATGTGGCTTTCCTGCCTGTGTCCAGTAGATAGCTGGGTTAGCCAGGGGTTACCTGTCAGATGTTTGAAAAACCTTCAAAAAGGGGAATTTTGGAGATGCTCTGCACAATCAACATTATGCACCATTAAGAAAAATCATGGTCCTAAGCCTTAGAAATCCAAAAGAAACCATAGGACATCTTAAATTTTGAGAGACTATCTGATCATGGAGAATGATTTAGGGTATTTAACACATCAAAACGATGTGATAATTTTCATTCAGTCAATTTCAGAAATCAGTGACAGCCCCCACCTCCCCACCTACACAACCACACACTCCACTTTCTTACATGAGAAGAAAAACAGAATCAAGCTCATTTTCTAATCTGTAAGAGTGTATCAGCTAAATTCGACCTGGATTCTGGGGGACTCAGTAACAGTACCATTTTAGCAAATTCAACTGCCAAGCTAGTGAGTAGGGGAATCCAAAGAATTTAGAATAAGGATCCGAAGTAGTAAATTCTATTTCTGACTCAACTGTCTCTGAGAGTGCAGAGGACACCATGAAATGAATGCTTTGGGATAGTTGTCAAAATCATTACTGCTACTGAGCATAGGGTGGAAGTGGGTACAGGGTAGAAATTCCTGAACTAAGGTTCGCATCATCTTCCCATCTGCCTCTTCCTGCTTCTTGATCACGTCATCTTTGAGAACAGCTGAGGGAAAACTTGGGAACTGCAAAGTGTCTTACTCTGCTCACAAGTATGGTTCTTCCCATCACCAAGAACACCTGACGGTTACTCAAGGTGACATGGCCATCTGCCTCGGAACTTTCCACCCCCTCCAGGTGTACACACCCTGGAAGAGCTGGTGTGGGAGAAATTTGAGAAGGAATACTAACAATGGAATCTAACAAGGCTAGGAGACCATAGAGGATGAATAAGAGTGCGCTTTTATTCCTCTTCACCCCTAACACTCATTCTGCATGCACAAGGGGATGTAGCAAATTGGATTTTGGATTTCTGACATTCTTTGTTGCATGGAAACCCTAAATTGTAGTACAACCTAATTTTGCACATGTTTAACGTGCTTTATTTTAGCATGTTAAATCTATGTAATATTGATTCTCTGTGGGGGTTCATGTGTATTCTCGAAGTTTCTGTCTTACTTTCTGAGACTGGAGTTAACTGTCTTTCTATCCACTGAGTGTACTAACAGACTCATTTTTTCCTGGGTCGTCTTCTTTAACTTTGCTTCTTTCATCCTTTTCCTCTGATTTTATCTGCATTCTGTCCTGGTTGGCTTTTATGTTCTTACCATTCTTGCCCATGAGTATTAATAAAAGTTAAAGAAAAAAAAAGTTACTTAGTGTTAAGGAAAAAAATATATAATGCTTTAAAAGGCAGTATTGTACACCTTTCTGATGTTGATCTAGGAGCACAGAGCTGTGCTTTTATAGTTCTACTGCCTCACCCAAATATATCTTGGGAAAGAGAGAGTTCATCAAAAGAATAAATTTGTATGCATCTTCTGCAAATGCAAATTGCGAAGTGTTTCTGAATCTGCTGCTCTTCAGTACCTGTAATCATCACGAATAATGTCCTGTCTTGCATTGCACTTTCAGAAACCGGTTACATTGTTACAAAACTTTTATGGAAGTATTTTTCCTGTTAAATGTTATTTTGAAAGTTGCGTTTCTTCTGAAATGTGATATATTTTAATGATATATTTTTTAATCTAGTCTTTCCATATAAGAAAAAAGTTGAAATTATTACATAAGCCTGTCTTAAATGTGAATCAATTAAGAAACTTCTGGTTTGCACCCAGCCTCGTCTGTAATAGAAAAATTGTAATAGAAAACACTAGGATGAGTTCAACTTTTTTTTCCCGAAACATTGTCTGAAAGGGAATGGGTTCCCTTATTAAGATGTTCTTGCATCCATGCAGCCTTGTACTCTAACATATCCTCTGAAGAGAATCCTTTGGTTCCTATTCTGAGCCTATGTTCAGTGAACATTCTTCATGCCCTCATTGTGTGAGAGATGAGTTCTTTTCAACAAGCCAGGAGGTGATTTTTTTTCTGCCAGGAGTGATTTTCCTGCCAAACGCATATGCAGTTTTCAAATTTCACCTTTGTGGCAAGACCTGGAACAGCCTGCGGTGCAAGATTTGATGGAGAAGAGTGGGTACTGCCAGTGGTTTATTCTTGTCCTGGTCACATCACCACTCAGAACCTCAGTTTCTTCATATGTAAAATAAAAGCACTGAACCAAATGGGAATAAGTATTTTTTCCAATACCCCAAAGACTATAAACTGGGAACAGAATTCTTAGCTTTTTAGAATGTCACAGCCTGTGACCAAGGACATACTAATTATTAACAGCCAAATTCCTCCTCTTGACTTATCCAAACTCTAACAGTACGGCAAAAATAAAACAGATGAAAATGAAAACTGATGACTGCCCTAGAAGTTTTAGGGCAGCATGTGAATGGAAAACAATGGGAAAGGTGTTCTTTTATTGAAATAGTGTGGTATGGCTGCCATTTTGTTTTAATCGATAGCAGCTCCCCTTTATCCAATGGGTACATGTTCTAAGACCTCCAAGAGATGCCTGAAATCTAGTATGGTGCCAAACCCCATATAGATTATGTTTTTCTTATATATGCATACTTAGGATAAAGCTTAATTTATAAATTAGGCACAATACTCTTGCAGACTGGGACCATTATGAAGTGTAAGGTTGACTTACCAAAGTGCTTCCATACCACAATAGCCAACCTCGTAACTGAGACAGCTATGAAGGGACTGATGAGCAGGTGGCATCTGTAGTATGGAGACTCTGGACAAAGGAATAATTCATGTCCCAGGCAGGACAGCATGGGACAACTCAAGATTTCCTCAAGCTACTCAGAATGGTGTGCAATTTTAAAATTACGAATTGCTTATTTCTGAAGTTTTCCACTTAACATGTTCCAAATGCGGTTGACCGCAGGTAACTGAAACCATGAACCCCAAAACCACAGATAAGAAGTATCACTGTATTAGTTGCTACTACAAGCATTAATTTTCTTTCAGCATAAAAACATGGAAATGCTAATTATTTTCCACTTTATCCTTTTTGATACCATGCAGGACTTATTTGCTTTGGATCTGGAGCTCTATAGGTACAGTGGTGTAAACATGACCGGGTTTCGGCTGCTTAACATTGACAACCCTCACGTGTCGTCCATCATTGAGAAGTGGTCCATGGAGAGACTGCAGGCCCCACCCAGGCCCGAGACTGGCCTTTTGGATGGCATGATGACAGTAAGTCATTTTCAAATAAAATCATTCGCGAGAATATTTGAATTCCTTCGGGGTTAAGATCACACGTGTCTTTAAAATGTTAAAGAAAACTCTTACAGTGGGTGCCTTGACTTGCAGGAGAGAAGAAAGAGTTTTTTTTTAGGTAATTTGAAAGGCTGTGACTGGCTACTAGCAAAAACTGCTATTTTTAGCTTCCTGGATGTACTCGCCGCAGATAAAAAACTTGACAAGAGTAGCCACCATTATCAGACAAACCAGTGCAAGGACGAGTTGAAGAGCATTTTATTGTAGGAATGTGGCCGTGGGGAAGGTGGCTAGTTGGGGAAGAGGAGGAACAACGTACCCGTGAGTTTTGCAGAACCAGTTTGTGTTTCTCACTTCTGCCACATTTCAGTAAGCAGAGCCAATGTGGAAAAATGCCGGATCTACAAACAGTTGGTGTATTCAGCTCTTCCTGTCCTGGATGTGTATAGGCCCACCTCTGCAGAACTGACAGTGTTTAACACCAGCCATATGTTGCTCTTGAAGCAGATGCCAGACCTGCCTCCTGACAAGTCAGAGATACTCTGCTGAACAGATAAACTGCGAACTGCCTCATCAGAGAGCTTCTCCCTAACATCATTTGTCTCTTGTCAAATGCACCTACCTTCACTTTATTTCTCTAATGAAGCTCCCTGGGTGCTGAAGAAAATAGCAGGAAATAATTTTTTTAAAATGCTTCCTATGTGGGAGCCATCTAAGGGGAAAGATACTGTGGAATGCAGGCAGGTAATAGCATTTTAAATTGGCATAGGATTTTATTATCCATTCCTATCATCGGGAGATGCACTCTCGCTTCTAAGATGCAATTTACCCATCATCTCACAGAGAACTTGGAATTTTTTTCCCCTTTTTCTTATGAAGAACAAATGAAAATGAAGAAATAAATGAATGAATGAAGTGGCTCTGGATGATTCCATGTTCAGGCTCCCTAACTGTTTTTCAAACCTGAAATAACTTTTAAAATATTCAAAGTGAACTGAGAGATAATGATGGAAAGCGTCTTGGTACAAACAACCCCTGGGATGATTTGAAACATTTCTTTGAATAGGAGCAAGTAGAGAATATCCAGGGCAATACTAGACTTCTGAAAGGGAGAGGGAACACCAGAGACAGAGGGAGAAGCATGCTAATAGATCGGTTTTTCTCTTATTCCTCTTGGGTTTATAATTTCAGTGAGTTCAAATATGGTTCAAAATCCTCTGCCCACTCTTCCAATGAAGTTTCCATTACAGGATGAGATCTCAAATCATTTTTACCTGTGTTTGGGATCTACCACTAAAAGAGTTACAGTTTGAATCTATGTTAACACAGATTGTGGACTTAGGCCAAGCATTAAATATTCATCACAAGTATGGCTTCATTCACAAAGAAAAAAAGTCCGTGTGTTCAATTACACTGAGCTGACAAAACAGTTCGTTCATGTTGACTGAGATGAGGAAGACTGTTGAATGAAGGAGACAGACCTATGCAATTCATGTGGAATCAGGCCAAGCATGAGGTGATCCTGCCACCCCAGAGCTGCGGCCGGTGTCCTGGGCTAACAGTGATCCCAGGGGCAGGAAGTGTGACAAGGTTGAGTCCCAATGGATGGAAGAGGCCCTGGTCTGCCTGAAGATCTTTACTGTGATCCCAACTAAGAGAGGGGATTCTAGGCTGTGTTCTTACACTTATTATTATAATAAACTATAAAAAGGAAAGTGGGGATTTACCGGAGCTCACTGAGGTGCTGTAAAAGTGGGTAGAGTAACTATTCAACATATCAGGTAGTGTCGATACTAATTTTTTAAAAAGTGATAGGATGCAGGCACCAGTAGGAGCTGTATCCAACAGTCATGCAGATAATAACTTTGAAATTACGTGAAGGGTAATACTTACTTTCTTTATCCAAAGAGTCTGCTTTGCACTTGACTGTTTTCTTTCTGTTTCTCCTGGATGTGGCTACTTTGGGAATGTGGAAACTGTGTCATGGGAGGTGAAGGGCATTGAAGGGCATGAAAGGACATCCATTTGGCCAATAGCTAAGCCAAGAGAGCAAACTTACGACCCCAAGCCCAGGCCCAATGCTAACAAATCTTTGCTGTCAAGTTGCCTCTATTTAAACTCTTTCTTCTCTACCTTAAAGATAAAAAGTCCTTTGGTTTCAATTTCATTGGGTCCAAATAGCAGACCCTGCCCTTCATTCATTCTTGCATGTCAAGCACTTGTTGCCCCCGTGCCTAGAAGCATACAGTAGCCCCTTCCCTGGTTTTTCTCTCTTTCCTCTTACCTGTTTTTGTTTTCTTCATAGCCCTTATGACCTGACTTGTTATATTTTGATTTGTTTGTTTAGTACCTTCCCCTACAAGAATAGACACTTCATAAAGGCATCTTTTATGAAAAAGAGGCTTTGTGCTTTTGTGCTCTGCTTTCTCCCCAGCACTAGAAAAGGCCCAGCGCAAAATACACCTTCAATAAATGTGTATTTAATAAAGAAATTAATGCACTAAATAAATAAGAATTAAGCTTCTACTAAAACTGAAGATGTTAAATGAAAAATATTTAGGCAGCCCTGAAAATAGTCCCATAAAAGTACAGAGAGTTCCTATAAATAAGATATATGTGAATGTGCATGATTAGTAAAATAGAGATTACTTTAAAATAATAAGAGTTTTTTAAAAATTAGTCACAGACTGGCCACTCTGTTTAAATAATGCCATTACTACAATAGAATTGTATTCTCTGAAATCATATGCTTCATTCCACTATTATTCAAGGTGAATTTCCCTGTAGCTGTTTATAGTCATAGTTTTGTGTGCGGTACATACGTATATGGATGCATATAGGAATTAGAAAAAAGCATAAGGAAAATGCATGTATTTTGATTTCCCATTCAATTATCTATTTTTCTCTCTAATATTTTTAACTATTAAGCATTTCTTAGAATTTCATACACTAAAAAATCCTCAAATAATATGATTATATCAAAACATTCATATCTGAAAATACAGAAGCCAGTCATGCCCATATCCAAAACATCTTGACACCAGACTTAAGAACAATAGAATTAAAGAAAAAAATTTAGTTTAAAAATTAGGTTAAAATTAAGTTAAGAAAATTGTTACTGAGTCAACCGAGTTCAAAAACAGTGAAACTCATTATTAAAAAATATCTTGAGGAAAAAAAGAGTGTTTTATCAACTGAAGTGTTAATTGACAAAATTAACAGAAGTTTGGAGTGAATTTTATAAAATCTACTTTGCTCTCTTTTATAATCTTTAAATTTTTTCTCAGCAATTGGGGTGATTCAACCTTTCAGCTTTTGGATAGACTGGGATAATACAGAATGGTTCATTCTCAAATGGGTTCTTCTCAGTGGACCAAAATTGTGTATGAGTCAACACTGCACAGGAGTCAGGGGAACAATCAAACATTGATCTGACATCTGCCTTTCTAGTTCTTCACATCCACTCACAACATAAAGTTAAGTCAGTAGCTTTATCCTGCTCTCTTGCCTGTAAACATTTCCCTTAATCATGACCCATAGGGAAGATGTCCCAGAGTTCCCACCTTGTACATCCACTTAAGCAATGAAAGAAAATAGGCAGCTGGATTCAGTACAAAAAGCAAAATCTTCCCAGATAATGAAAGCCTAGGGTTAAGTCCTGGCTATGTCTCCTAAATAAGTGACCAGAGCAAGTTATTTAACCTCTCTCAGTTCTCTGCTCATCTGTAAATCTGTACAGTAATGCCTTACAGTGTTACACTACAGATTAAATTAGATCACATATGTGAAGCCTCTAGTACATAGAATTGAATTCACTTGATACCTGATGTTTTGCCTATTTGTAGTCAATAAAAGAACAAGAGGCTGTGCATGGTGACTCATGCCTGTAATCCCAACACTTTGGGAGGCTGAGCCAGGTGGATCACAAGGTCAGGAGTTCAAGACCAGCCTGGCCAACATGGCAAAACCTTGTCTCTACTAAAAATACAAAAATTATCTGGGTGTGGTGGCGGGTGCCTGTAATCCCAGCTACTCGGGAGGCTGAGGCAGGAGAATCGCTTGAACCAGGGAGGCAGAGGTTGTAGTGAGCTGAGACTGTGCCATTGCACTCCAGCCTGGGCAATAAGATCAAGACTCCATCTCAAAATAAATAAATAAATAAATAAAACAGATATTCTGAAATATCATAGCAGAATCTGCGTGTTTCCAAGAAACACATTCCTTAGCTTGCACATATAGCCCAAGATGGACCCTTATCTGGGACCTGTGTGACCCTGTATGATCAGCCCATTTGATCTCTGAATATTAGGTCTCTCTTCAGCACCCCAATCTCCTCCTGCTTTTTCCAACAACAATTATGTGCCACGCAGACAGCTAAGTATGAGGACTTTCTAAGGCCACGTAGTGTTGTTAGTCCTCATCTCTAAGATGAGGTGGCATCTCACTGGCTTATGTTGGGAGTCCTCAAGACCATCTTCAGATTTGATGATTTGCTAGCAGGACTCACAGAACTCAGAAAAGCTGTTGTACTCACAATGACAGATTTATAGCAAAAGAAGACAGAGCAAAATCAGCGAAGGAAAAAGTGACAGAGAGTCCACACAGAAAAAGCACCAACTTCCAAGTATCCTCTCCCAACAGAGTTGCATGGACAGCACTGAATCCTCAGCAATGATCTATGACAACAAGTAGAAAGTATTGCCAGCCATGGAAACTCATCCAAGCCTTGGGGTCCAGGTTTTTTATTGGGATGATCGGTCACATAGGCATGGAGCTCCCATATAGTTGGCCTTAGTTACTTAGTATCCAGCCTTTCAGGAGATCAAATTGATACAGCATGGCCCAGAGCCCTAGGTCAACAAAAATAGGCATTCATCATAAATCACATTTTTAAAATAAAGTATCTGACATTACCCAGGACCCCAAGAATACAATGACGTTCTTATTGGGGTATTCCAAGGAGTTGAAGGTTATCTCTCAACAGCCAGTCAAGGGGCTGGTCCTCTCTTTGGAATGTGCAAAGTCTGAGTACCCTAAGCCCAGTGAGTTAATCCTTTACTGCAAATTGTAATAACCAAAACATTGTGTACTGGGGAGAAGTATGCTTTCAATGTGCTTATTTCATGGTTCAGATTGTGGTAAAAAGATTTTCTTAGGGTCATTGAGCAATGTGATTTCATCCAGGCTCTAGATATATATAAAATGTGAACATAAACACATTTGGAAGAGGAAAATTTGAAACATAAGCCAGTTTCTATTACATTACCTATTACCTAAAATGATGACAGCTATTCAGTAAGCAGGCCTCAAGCACAAAACTGAAAGGGGGAGGAAAATCAGTGGTAGTATATTAGTGCTATAATATAATTAATGTAAACATTTTCTCCATCTAAGAAAACATTGTATTTCAAGGGGCAGCATATTTGTTAGAATAAATAGTTTTCTTCTTTGGGTTGAAAGGCACAGATTAGACCTACAATTTTGAATCATTTTATTGCCCTTCCCAATATGGAGCCCGCCTTGAGAAAGAATGTCCATCTTTTCTAAACTAAGTTTATGGAAAAATCAGATTATTAGAATTCCAGTCCTTATACTTCTCTATCAAATTGGTCATTCAGTGAATTAATGAATACAGATACAAATTTTCAAAAAAGTATATCCTATTGATAAAAAAAAGTCCAAGTCATCATAGCATGTGGCTATGGTCATGAGCTGAAATCTGAGTTTGCATCCCAAATTAGAATTCTCATTCCTTCCCTTAATGGCTACAAAATTTTAGGTAAGTTATTCTACCTCTACAAGCCTCAATTTCCCCATCTGCATACCTATTTCAAAAGTTTAATTTCAGTAATTAAAAAAGATGACTTATGTAAAATGCTTATAGTGCCTGGCACATAGTAAATTATCAGTGAATATTAACCTTTATTGAACTATTATTGTGACTATTAAATCACCAAACCAATAACTTGGTTTAGAAGCAGCACAGCTTTATGGTTAAGGGCATATACTCTAGCACCAACTTCATGGGTTTGAATATTGCCTGTCCCTCCATGAGTTTGGGGGTCCCATTTAATATCTTTATTTCTTTATCTGTAAAAGAATAAAGGTTATAGTGAAAATTTCAAGTTTGCAAGGGATTTAGAACAGCATGCGACATATCATAAGTGCTCGATAAATGTCAGCTATTGTTATTGATTGCATTTCAAAAAGTCTCAATCTGCCAGTAGCTTACTTTCCTCCAATTAAACAGAATTAGTACAGCAAAGTGGTAAAGATCATGGGTGCTAGAATCACGCATGTGCAGGCTCAAACCCTGGCCATGAAATTGATTACAGAGTAGCCTTATACTGGTCAATTTCCATGAGCCTTAGTTTTCTCATCTACAAAGTGGATTGTGTGAGTCTTGGACTGAAATGATCAAAACATTTTTAAGCTTTAGAAATTACTGCCACCACCAATCTAATGTCTGTATGTCAATTGCATAAGTATGAATGAAATGTTTTTTCTTAAAACTACATCTTAAAGCCTTGCAATTATACAGTTCTCACAAAAATAAATTTCATTTTAAGGGATTAAGTAATATGAATTTCTTCAGTGAACATGTTTAAACAACTTCCCGTGTCAGGAACCATGTTAGTCACCAAAGCTAACTTAAACTTGAGCAGTTTCTGCCTTCAAAAAACCAATATTCTTCTTAAGAAACGGACATAAAGACCTCTGACCATGAATAGATGGAAAATACAATGATAAAGATTGTAGAGAATAATAAGGATTCAAAGTAGAGGTATTCCATGGCCTCAAAGACTGATAAAATTGTGAGATATAGTAACCCCGTCCTCGCTTTCCACCTCCACCAAGACATGAGCAATCAATGCATAGTATATGTTGAATGTATCAACCAATTTTGGAAACCATATGATAATTTTCATTCCATGACCTAGATTCTAGGTTTAACTCTGAAAATGACTGGCTATGTATATAATCCCTATTACTCTCCAGAAATAATAAGCAGACGTAATGACATCTCTGGGATTTCTCACTATGATTGTGTGTGTGTTGTGTGTGTGTGCACATGTGTGTGTGCACATGTGTGTGTGTGCCCCTCCACAAATATCCTACCTCGAAGTGAGTTTTCTCACATAATAAATACCTTTATCTCTTCTGCTTATTTTGAAGACTTGTTGAGAATTTCAAATGAGCTAATGTATTTGAAGTTGCAATGAAACCCTCAAGTGAAATGCAAGGGTATTATAAGATTTTTTTCCCTAAAGAAAACCACAGGGAAGTATATTTTATAAAATGCTGTAAGTATTATGTAAAATTTTGCACGTGACAGGAATTTCATGAGGAAGGGAAGAATGAGATGTCCAGTCTCCTAAAAGGAATGACTGACTGGTTTCAATCTGTCTCAAGAAAGCACGTGCTGGCAAGAGGAGGCATGTTCTGAGCCAGTTGCATGTGTCTGCTCTTCAGAGGGCCTCCCAAAACTTGCTGTTGAGTTTCATTCCATGACTATGACCTTCTTAACTCTGGTAAATGAAAGTGACCAACACCAGTATCCTTATCTGGAAATCACCTGTTAGTGACTGCAGCAGTTGCTTTCTACCAAATATAAACCAGTAAGTAGACAGATAAATAGTTATAGACAAATACTGAGAAACAAATCTGATATTGCAACTTTGAGCTTTAGTAGCTTCTGGCTCAAGTAGTTGATCTTAACACCGTGCTTAACATAGAAGACACTTTGCAAAATATTTGTTCCTTGAATCAAGTCTTCTGTGGCTGATCTGGGGTGCTTTATTTATTTATTTTTTTTTGAGACGGAGTCTCGCTCTGTCGCCCAGGCTGGAGTCCAGTGGCCGGATCTCAGCTCACTGCAAGCTCCGCCTCCCGGGTTCACGCCATTCTCCTGCCTCAGCCTCCCGAGTAGCTGGGACTACAGGCGCCCGCCACCACGCCCGGCTAGTTTTTTGTATTTTTAGTAGAGATGGGGTTTCACCGTGTTAGCCAGGACGGTCTCGATCTCCTGACCTCGTGATCCGCCCGTCTCGGCCTCCCAAAGTGCTGGGATTACAGGCTTGAGCCACCGCGCCCGGCCCGGTGCTTTATTTTTTTTTAAAGAACTTGAAACAAAGCAGAGTTATGACTTCAATTTACTCCGAAGTGTTAGGTATTATTTTTTGAGAAAAATAGCTGTTGGAGAGTGAAAACTACCTAGCTGAACAATAAATGGCCTTTGAGATCAGATAGATAAGAGCTATGGAAGCAGAAAGAGTGATTGTGCAGGTAAAGGAAGGTAAGCAAAGGTGGAATTGAAGATGTGGTGTGCGTTTTCCTCCACAGACTGAAGCGGCTCTGATGTACGATGCTGTGTACATGGTGGCCATTGCCTCGCACCGGGCATCCCAGCTGACCGTCAGCTCCCTACAGTGCCATCGACATAAGCCATGGCGCCTTGGACCCAGATTTATGAACCTCATCAAAGAGGCAAGTGATGCTCCCTCACAGCCCAGGGGCCCTTCAGCTGAGCACTGTTGGGCTTGCCCATTTGGTATGGTCCTCCCCACATGGTTCTGTTGGCATGATGCCCATAAGAGAGAAGAAGCCATCATCAACCAGTCTGCCCAGATTTCAGTGTCAAAAGTTTGTCCAGAAGGACTATCAGGAATTTCCCATTGTGATGCTGCCAAGTTCAGTGATGCTGCAATATACCCATCACTTCCTCTCCTTCATGCCAGCCATGGCCATAGCTCCTGCTGGCTCTCCACATATGTCCATAAGAGCATATGGGTGTTTCTTCCATGGTCCACTGAGTCAAGGGGAGGGTTGATCCACTACTGAAGGGTACCAGAGAGAGTTCCAGTATTATCAGTCCACAATCCCAGTGGCCTCCTAAAGCTCAGGTTGTACAGGACTGCGTGGAAGGACCTCTTTATCTTAATTACATAGTGATTGTTTTGTCATTTGTCAGCTAACTGGAAAAGTTTATTCCCATTCAAAACCTACCCAGCACATTAAAAGATTTTCGAGAGTACAGGATATTTGCAGGGATAGATATCTTCACTGATGTCCTGGGATCCTGGACTGTCCTCCACCTTTTCTTTTCTCTGAGGCAGTTTGACTCCTCTTCACAAGGCCCTGTTCTAAGCCCCGGGACTCCTTATTGATATGTATCCTGCATGATTGGCCACTCCACCACACACCTCAGGGTGTGTCTGGACTTGGTGATAAGAAATAAGGCTCTTTGACTGGGCGCGGTGATTCATACCTGTAATCCCAGCACTTTGGGAGGTCGAGGTGGGCAGATCACGAGGTCAGGAGATTGAGACCATCCTGGTTGACACGGTGAAACCCCGTCTCTACTAAAAACACACACACACACACACACACACAAAATTAGCCAGGTGTGGTGGCAGGCACCTGTGGTCCCAGCTACTCAGGAGGCTGAGGCAGAAGAATGTCGTGAACCCGGGAGGTGGAGGTTGCAGTGAGCTGAGATCTCACCACTGCACTCCAGCCTGGGGGGACAGAGCAAGACTCATCTCAAAAAAAAAAATAAATAAATAAAAGAAAGAAAAGAAAAGAAAAAAGAAATAAGGCTCTTTGGAGTAACTAGGCCTGAGTATGCACAATGCTCCAATATGCTATTCTAATATTTCTCTATGGGATACAGACATGTACTTCTCAAGTGAAGAGTATTTTTTTTCCTTTCTGTACTGGAGAAGGATGGAAACATAGTGGAAGGAAGAGGGAGGGCACGTGAAAATGCCCAGCTAAAAGCAAGGAAAGACACCTGCTTTGGACTCCTGTCTCTGCTGGTCTCTTCCATGCCTGCACACCCTCTCTCAGGCTGTTCAACACAACGAAAGGCTGACTGATCCATGAGGGTGAGGACCAAGCAGGTGGGATGCATAAGGATTAAGTACCTAGGCTCCAAATCTAGGTTGCTTGCAAGCCCAGGATGAGGGTGCAATTTAAGGAAACATTCATTCTTGGGTGAGAATTCTATACTTGCACAAGATTAAGAGGGAATTATCCCTTAAACTTTGTACCCTGAGCACCTCTCTTACCTTACCCTAGTCTTGGCAGTGACTGCTTGGGTTTAAATCTTAGTTCCACTAACACTGATGAGCAATATAAACCGGGCAAGTCTATTGGTCTGTTTTCATGCTGCTGATAAAGACATACCTGAGACTGGGTAATTTATAAAGAAAAAGAGGTTTAATGGACTCACAGTTCCACGTGGCTGAGGAGGCCTCACAATCATGGCGGAAAGTGAAAGCATGTTTGTGTGGTGGCAGGCAAGAGAAAACTTGTGCAGGGAAAATCCCATGTATAAAGCCATCAGATTTCACGAGACTTATTAACTGTCGCGAGAACAGCATGGGAAGACTCGCCCCCATGATTCAATTACCTCCCACTGGGTCCCTCCCAAAATGCATGGGAACTATGGGAGCTACAATTTGAGATGAGATTTGGGTGGAGACACAGCCAAACCATATCAGCAAGTTACTTACACTTCTTGTCTCTCAGTTTTCTTATCTGTAAAATGGGAACAGTATCATCTACCTCACAGCATGACTGTAAGGAAAAAGAGTAAGGCAAATGTTTGTGAAGAATAGTTCAGAAATCTAGTAAGCATCTGAAATACTAACTATTCTCTTGCCATTGGAAAGCACCACTAAGAACAGCCTCATTCAGTTTACTGAAGATGATGCCAGGAATTTCAAACTGGCAACAACAACAAAGAAATCACAAATAGGCATGAAACAAAATACCTTTTCTGACAGCTACATAACTCTGCCACACTATGCCTCATAGAAAAACATCACACGACCTCCTTTTCCCTGCAGCGATCATGGTTGTGTCCTGAATCGCCATCCTGATTACCTTGATCTTTAACAAGAAAACAGCTGGTTTTCTTTCATCTCCTAGAAGTTCAAGGAGAGGCAGAAGTGACATGAAAGCTTGGGATCAAACACTCAAGAGCCCCCAAGGCACCTTATCACTTGTACTTAAGTTGCATAAGAAGGTGAAATTACCAAGCCACATTTAGGCATGTTTAAAGAAATAATGAGCTCCAAGATGAGGGACCACACTGAAAATAAGAAGGTATTTTATATTCATTCACTCCAAAGAAGCAAATCCCTCATTTTTAATCTCCACAGTTAGGGGTAACAGGAAGGGAGGGGGATATGAATCAGAAACCATTGTCAACATTGTACTCATCCTCTTTTGTCTCCTGAGTCAGGATGTCATACGCTACCTTTGGCAGGGTGTAGGTACCTGCAGAGAAGATGGAATGGGAGTAACTAGAAGCAATGCCTCAGCCTGCTGGAGGACTGGCACTGAGGGAATTCTGAGACAACCTAAACTAAAACATGCAAAAAAGAAAATGCACGTGTTTCTTCAGATGAGTGTATAACTAAACAAAATTTTGCAAGTATCAGGTTTCATTAGGAAACATGAAATAAGGAACTTGGTCCCCAAATTTCCCCTGCTTCTTTTTTTTTTTTTTTAAGTAATTCTCACTTTGTAAAGAAGTTCCAAAACTAGAGCCAGAAAAAAAAAAAAATGAAAAGAAGCAAGTCAGCAGATTGAATTTATGGGGTGAAGATCAAATTCGTCACAGGAGGTAAACTTCCTGAGCAGAGGTTGTTGCATGTGCGGTAATTTCTGATAACTCCACACACTGTTGGGAATCAGTAAGCTTTCAGACACATCTTTCCAGCTCACTACCTTTCAGTGTTTGAGTCTGACTAGATAAAGGGGAAGAGTTAAAGAACATTTGAAACATGATAGAGTATGTTATTGTGTTAGCTCTCTGAGCATTTGCTAAACAAATGCATACTAGGAGATTATACATTCCCACTCAACAAGCATTACTGAAACTCCACTACATAAGCAATATTACTTGGCATCTTAAGGGATAATATCCTCAAAAAGTAGAAGACGTGGTTTCTGCCACCTAGTAATGTAAATTGTACATGGCAGAGGATTGACATGTTTCATTAAAGCTTTTTCTTATACCTCAGGATAAAACATACACTCTTCAGCAGGATATACAGGGTGTCTGATGATCTCGTTCCTGATCCCTCTGCCAGCTCTCTCATCTCCTGCCCCATCTGCAGCATCTGCTGAACCTACTGTGGCTCCCTTGAATATGCCATATGCTCCTACCAAATTATTTTGCCTCTGATTGCAATGCCATGCTCTTCTAGGTCATGCTTTATGTCTCGACTCAAGCACTAGCTCATATCTGCAGGACCCTGACTCACAGATGTAGGCTCTGTACCTTCATTACAACTGTGGGTATGCTATCGTGTTTGTTTCCATGTCTATCTCCAAGCTATGTGTTTTCAGTCTCAATTCCCTAGCTCTTGCACAATGCTGGGCATAGAATGAGCACCCAATAAATACATGCCAAACCAGTGAATGGTTGATGAATGAATGAATGAATGAATGAATGAATGAGCAAAGGAACCGAAGAACACACACTTACAATCTATAAGCATGTGCAGTGCTTTAGGATACACTCTGTTCATAAAAATCATATCCAGAAACAATTCAATAAGACAGAGTCAGGGGCTGGACTAGATCTGTCCACCAGGGCCGTAGGTTTTGATAGGAGAGTGAGGCACGGTTTTCAGGAAAGACCAACCTATTTAACTCTGGTGCTGGGAACACAGATTCTGAGATTTCATCACACTTTGCTATCAGTGTGAACTTAGTCAAGTCATTTAGCTTGTTTCTCACTCCTTCCTCCTATAACACGGGGAATAAAATGCCTACATCATATGTTTGTAGGGATTACATATTTTGCATGTACAGCCTAGCAAAATATTTGTCATGTAGTGGTTGCCTAATGAAGGATAGCTACCATCAAATGAAAGGTTCTGTTAAAAAATCAAAAACATTTTTCCATTTTCAAGAAAAGGAAGTATATTGGAATAAGATTGCAGTTAGATTAACACCTTTTCTTGAAATGAATTTACAGAAAAAAGTGTACATGTATAATTAAGTTCACTGTATCCTCCTTTAAACTAGTTTTACCTGCTTGTTTTCTCATAAATGAGTTACATAAACCTTTGACATACTTATGTATTTTTAATATCCTAATATCACAAGTAGCCTTTTGTTTCTGTATTGCACTTTAGAGGTAACTGTTATTTTTCCATCTCTTTGTACAACTGATATGGTTTGGCTTTGTGTCCCCACTCAAATCTCATCACGAATTGTAATCCTCACGTGTGGAGTGGTGGACCCGTAAATCCCCAAGTGTTGAAAGAGGGCAGTGACTGGATCATAGGGGCAGTTTCCCCCATGCTGTTCTTGTGAAAGTGGCTGAGTTCTCAAGAGATCTGATGGTTTTATAAGGGGCTCTTCCCCTTTTGCTTTCTCCTCTCTCTCCTGCTGCCCTGTAAGACATACCTACTTCCCCTTCCGCCATGATTCTAAGTTTCCTGAGGCCTCCCCAGCCATGCAGA